GTATATTATTATATATATATATATGTATATATATATATATATATATATACTTAATCTAATATTTTTTATTTATTAATTAAATATAATCAAGTATTTTTTTTAAATATTTTATTTTTCATTATATTTTAGATAATGTTGTTATAATATAAATAATAAATCATTTAAAATATTTATTTTAAAATAAATATATAATTTAAATTATTATATATATTATATTTTAAATAAAAACTCATTTTTATAAATAATTGTATTTTTAATAAATGAAATTTAAATTTATTTACAATTTTTAAATAATTTATTTACTTTTTTTATTATTTTTATATTAATATTAGTATAATATATATATAATCAAAAAAAATATAAATATTTTATAAATTTATTAATTAAAATAAATATATATTTTTTTTAAATGAATAATAAATTTTTGTTTAAAAAATATACAATTTTAACATTATATTTTCAATTATACTCTTCATTTTTAATATATTTAAATACATTTTTAAAAATTATTTTTAAAAAATTATTTATTTTATATATATATTTAAAAATTTCTTATTATTTATTATAAATTAAATAAAAATGTTTAATAAATTTTTTTATATTATTTTATTTAAAAATTAAATTTTCGAAATTTCAAATTTTATTTTAAATTTAATTATTATTAAAAATATATAAGAAATATTTATATATATATATACATATATATATCTATATATATATTTATTTTTATTTTTTTGATTTTTTGTTCTTTTTCTAAAAAGTTTAAATTATTTCAAAAAATTTATTATTATTTTTTTTGTTTATTATTAAAATAAATTAAATTTTTTTAAAAAAATATATATTATAATGTATTATGAATTGACATATATATATGTTTATATATATATATATTTATATATATATATATATATATATTAGAAAAGCACATATAAATATTTTTCTATTAGTATATTATTTAAAAGTTCTTTAATTTTTAGAATTTTATATTTGTTATAAATAATTCATTTTTTTGGAATAAATTATATAAGATTTCTATATATTTTTCCGTTCTGAATGTAAACGATTTCTTTAAACATAAAAATGAATATGCTAATTTAGTGAATATTTTCAATTAAATAATAAATTCTCTAAATTTTTTTTGGCATAATTTGCACTTTTACATATGACAACTTGTTAAATATGCTTATTTTTTACTCTAATGATCATATTTTTTACTTTTTAGACTTTTTAATAAATTATTTTTTGGTTTGTGTTTTTTCTGTTTTTAAATGATTAATATTGCATTTATTTAAAAGTTTTCTAAACTCTTATGAAACAAAGTCAACTTCCTTATATATATTCTATTAATTCATAAAAAAAAATATATATATATATATAGATAAAGATGTATATTTATATATTTTTATATATAAATTATAATATATATATATATATTTATATATATATATATTATAACTATTTTCATACTATATTGTTTATTAAGTTAAAAACATTTAATTTTATCATTTTTTGAACAGAAATTTATAATTTTATAAAAATATTTTCGTTTAAATTTTTTTTATTTTATTTTTAAAAAAAAAATTATAAAAATATAAATATATATATATTTTTTTAAATTAAATATATGTATTATTATTTCTGTTTTCTTTTTTATTTATATTTTTTAAATACAAATATATTCTAAGAATTGACAAAATTAATATAAAAAAAGTATATGTTTAATATACTTTTTTTTTTAATATATATATATATATGTATATATATATTTATTTATAACTTAAAAATCATTTTAAATTTATATTTTAACATATAATCATTTTTATTTAAACATATAATCATAACTAATTTTCTACAAATATATATTTTTTTTAATGTTATATATTTATATATATATTTAATATAACACTATTTTTTTTAACTTTTATTAAATTTAAATAAAAAATAACATTTTTTTTTATAATTTACTAAAAAATAAAAAAAAATCTAAACAAAAATAGATGGCAAACACTCTATTTAAATAAATTAAATTTGTTGAATTACTATTTTTATATATTGCAGTAACAAAAATTAAATAAATAAAAAACTAATCTAATTATTTAACTAATAAAAAAGTGGATAAGTGTCCCATGTATATTATTAAGAAAAGATATTAATTTTATATTTGGATTATTCGGGTATTTTTTATGGAGATAAAATTTTGTAAATAATAAATCTTAAATTGTAAAAATCTAAAAACAACTATTAAATATTATTATTTTTTTTAAAAAAAAATAAATAAAATAAAATATATAGTTATTATTATTAAATATAGCTTTAATAATTATAGATGTGTTTTGGTTTATTGATTATTTAAATATTATATAAATTAGTTAAAATAAACATTAAATAAGTACATTAGGATATATAGTTATTGGTTTATCTGGTATTAATACAATATTTAAAGTAAATATATATGCATATTTAAGTATATTTTTTTTTTTCAATTATTAAAAATTAGGTTATTATATGTGTTTTATTAAGAAATTTAATTAATTAAATTCCTAAAGAAAAAAAGAAAATTAAAAATAAATAATTTAAAATGCAGGAGGATATTCATCATAATAATAATTACAATTTTGAAAAAAATAAAAAATAATAAAAATAAAAAAAAAAGAACTATATATAATTAATATATTTACCTAAAAAAAATTAAATTTAAAATATGTGTATATATTTATATATAAATAAAAAAATAATTAATATATATAATAAAATGTAATCAATTTTAAAAGAAATAAACGAATTTATTAAATGTATAGCCTTAGGTACTTTTAAATTAGATGAAGGATAATCAATAGAAGCTTTATATCCAGAAGATTCATTAAGTATTGAAGATTAAAGAAGTATAATGATGGTATCTTTTCCAGATACATTAAGTTCCAATTCAAGTAAAGATTTAATTCTTGAATATACATTTAGAATAAGAATATAGAATGAATATAAATTAGGTTTTGTGTATTTTTATAGAAAAAAAGATCCTGAAAATTAACGAGGATATACATAAAAATCAATAATTTTGATTGCAAACTTACCTTTAATAAGTTTATTTTAATAAATAATAAATTAATTAGGACAATAATTACGCGACAATACATTAAATTTTAAAGTTTTATATATATATATATACAAAAATATTTTTTTTATATTTATATATATAATTGTGTATATATATAAGGTTGCTATTACATATTTAAAATCATGGAAATAAATTATTGATAATAATAAATTATATAAAATGTAATTTTTCGATAAAATTTATGAAGTAAGCCTATTTTTTGTTATATATATATTAAAAAAAATAAAGGTATTAATTTCTAAAAAAATATTTAAAAATAATATCAGATAAAAAAATACAAGTAAAACATTATAAAATGAACTTAATTTTCAGAAAAAAGATAGTATAAACGAATAAAAAGGAGTTATTTATTCATTAAAAAATATAATAAGGATTTCGAATTCTATTTAATAATTAGAAATTACAAATCTACCCACTTTACAAATAAAAAAAAGGCGATCTTCATCTTTAGATACTGCCAATTAATAGTAAGAATAAGAAAAATCAACTTCTTTATCTGAAATTCTTAGACAAAATGATAATTAATAAGAAGGTTTATTTCAAGAAATAAACCTATATATGCATTTAATACCAAACAAAATATAAATAATATGGTAAATATGGGAAATTATTTTAACTAATTAACCATTTTTATGTATAACTAAAAATCCGAGTAATATTAATCCAACAAAAGAAATAAATATATATATATATATATATTGTTTATATTAGATGAATGTTCTGAATTAATACTAGGTTTTATATCATTAATTTCACCATTAGAATTTTTGGGAGATTATAGACCTTATTTTACTATATATGATCCTGATTATAAGAAAATATTTTAAGAATATAATCAGAATATGTTTAAAAATTATGTTTTGGGTACTTGTAATCCTTTGTTTTTATAGATTTTTAAGAATTATCCTATTATAGTCAATTTATGTGGAAATATTAATAATAATAATAATTAAAATATTTTAAACAATTAAAATGACAAAAATAATAACAAGTTTATATTTTATAAATAAAATAATATGAAAAGTCATATTATTCCAGATTTAAAAGCCTTATAAAAGCTACTTTTAACTTCGAATTCATAAGAATGTATAGCTATTAATAATACTTTATTAAGAAAACATTTTAGATAAATAACATTAAATTTTTTAGAGCCATTTAATGACTATTTTAATTCATAATAATAAAATGTAAAAACAAAACCAAAAAAAAAAAAAACTATATTAATAAAATATAATAATGTTTAGGAAATAATATATTTCGAAGAAAAATCATTTGATAGTTTTTTAAGAAAATAAAAATAAATAAAGATTAGTTACTTATATAAAGAAAAAGCTCATATTTTTGAATTATATAACCGTTTTTTACGCTCGACAAATTTCGTTTAATTTTTAAGAAATCGTTAAATTCTATATAAATGAAAAAAAAAAAATATTAAAATATATATTTATATATATATCATTTTTTTTTTTTCCCCACTCTCTCCCAAAAAAAAAAAAAAAAAAAAAAAGATCAATAATAATCATCAACTTCTTCTAATCCATTACTAACCACAGCTTATTATTTATATAAATCAACAATAAAAGACGGATTAGTAGAATCTGTGACATTTTTATCATTTCTAACTCTCGCCAATCTTGGAAATCTTAACCCTATCCCCTTATTTTCTGACACATCTCCCACTCCACATGTATAAACAGGCGAAATCTACAAATCCGCACCTTTAACTTCCCAAACAACACAAGGTTTTAACCATACATCGGCTTTAAAATCTCCTACAAAATAATCATCTTACTTTTAAGGAATAATCTTGTCCTAGAAAAACTTATAACAAGCCTCCAAGACTTCATCAGAGAACCCTGTCCCTATCTTACACACTGACTCATATCTTTCCATATCTTCATTATAGCAAGCTAGTAAATAAGCCCCGTATAAGCCCACTCTTTTCCCACTACCATAAAAAGCAGCAATCGGTACTAAATCCAGAGTATCTCCTAAACCTAGTTCTAGGTAATCTTTTTTTAATTTAAGCCATTTAAAAGACCTCTTAGCGGGTTCGTAAGTTGAGTTATTTTCTAATGTTTTTACCATTAGACCTTCGCAGCCTTTTTTTAAAGACTTCTCGAGCATTTCTTGAATTTACTCCATATCTTGGCTATCTATGTGTTCTGCGAATTGAAATTCACCTTCTTCTTAGACGAAATATTCCCTCACAGTGTCCCTTCTTTACTATAAGGTGTTTTGGAGTAAAGATTATCCGTTTAAATATAGTAAATCAAATATAAATACACACACTCTTATGTTAATGTCTTCTATTTTAACATTAACACGTCCTCTAGTCGATAAAATTTAGAAAGGCTTTATACGATTTGTTTATTTGTCAAAAGCTACGATTTCACTGTCGAGTATAAAAGAATTTATATTAGGAGATTTCTTTATGTGGTCTTGGACAAATTTAACAATGTCAGGATATGTTTCGGTCATGTTTTCGAGATTTCGGGAAAATATAGAGACTTTACCTTCCTAAAAATGTATTTAACCACGTAAACCATCATATTTAAATTCACAAGTGAATTTTATATCTTTGAATCTATTTAAGATTATCTAATATATTTAATATATATTTTAAATATAATTAATATTTTTAGATTTTTATTACTTTTATAGATTTTGTAGGTTTAGCTAACATAGGTTTACATGGAATTCCTACTGTAACTTTACATGTTTGTATTAATTCATGTATATTTTTTTTAACTTCTTTTAATTTCTCGATAACTTAGAAATAATTAGGGAATTCACAAAGACTTCTAGTTATATTATCATTGAATTTCTCAAGTTCAATTTTATCGCTTTCTGAAAATTCTTCATTTTTATTTTATGAACCGAAATATGCTAAATCGAAAAAAGCTTTACTTAAACCAGCTTAAAATGTTTTCTCAGCAGCTCCAATTTTAAGGTTTTTTTCTAAAAAACGAATAAAAAAACACACTTCTACAGGTTTTGCATCTTACATAAATTTTACTATTATTTTTTCTTTTTTAGAACTAGAACTCTAATAAAAAATTATATTTTAATATATATTTATTAAAATATATATATATATATATACATATATTATTTATTATTTTTTTTTATGCAAATTTACTTCTCCTTTAGTTTATTAAATTTCCTTTAGATCATTATATACTCTCATTAACGTAATTGGTGCTTTCTCCATATTTTATTATTTAACAATAAAAAATTAAGATATATTTTTTTATGTAGCTTTGGCAAAAGATGCTACTTTACCTAAATCACCACATTCATTTAGACATCCTTTGATTTATTTTGGTGTTTTTCCACTGCATGTACTTATAGCTTTCAACAGAATTTCTTGTCCTATTCCTAATTCGTTTTATTCATAATCAGGAGCTACTTTAAGAATACAAAACATATAAGCTTAGTAAATTTAAGAAGGATTTAAAAGTAAAATAGTCCTAAAAACTTTAGATATGACCTAAATCATCTATTATTTAGAGTTTTATCCTTTACATTCTTACATTATTTCAAAGGCATCACATAAAAATTTAAATGGAATTTACTCGTTTTCTAAAAAAGGTGCGTCATGTAGACAATCGAATCTGGGATCAGTTAAAGATCTTAAATTTTCGCAGTTTTTTTTTGTTTTTTAGGATTCTATTTATTCTTTTTGTTCTTCTGTTTTTTCCTCATCTTTTTAAATTTCTGTAAATAATTATTTTTTATGGATTTCGTCTTCTAAATCTTCTTAAGCGGATGAATCTTCGAACATTTTTGCTCTCTTTCTTTTCGAAAAATTCTTACTTATTAAAGGATCGAGTTCTACTTCTTTTTTTTAAGGCAATTCTTCTTCTTGTTCTTCTGGTTTAATTTTTTATTTTGTTTATTTTTCTTTTGTAATTGTTTTTTCTTTTATAGTTGTTTTTTCTTTTGATGTTGTTGATTTTTCTTTTGATGTTTTTTCATTTCTTTGTTTCTTTTCTTAAACTACTTATTTTTACTTCTATTATTATGTATCTTCGTTTTCTTTTTCCTTTTCTTATACTTTTTCTTTAGCTTTTAATGATGATTTTTTTGAAGATGAATCTTTTTTTTCTTTATTAAAGAAACCTTTTAAACTAGTTTGTTTCATTTTTTTTTATTATTTTTTGTTTGTTTGTTTGGCGGGTTTATTATTATTTTTTTAGAGATGCAATTTTTTAAGTATTTATATATATGTATGTTTTTATATATATTGTATTTTTTTATTTTTAATATATATATATTTATGAAAAAGGAATAATTTTAATATAAGAATTTATTTTTAAATATTTATTAGAATTTTATATGTATTTTTCATTTATGAAACCAAAATATAAATTATTAAAATATAGGAGCCAAGAAAAAATATATGAGTATAAAATATTATTATAATATGATAATATATTTTTAAATATTTAATTAATTATAATATTTTATAAAAATATTTACTTTTTTTAATAAAAATAATTTTTAAACATAAGTTATTTTATTTTTGTTTTTGTATTATTTAAAATAAACTATTTTATTTTTTTATAAATATACCAAATGCATTTATTATTAAAAATAAATTTTTAAAAAAGATTAAAGATAATATTATAATTAAAATTAACAAACAAAATAGTAATATATATATATTTATATATTTATATATTTATTTATATATAAAATTAATAAAAAAAATAGAATATAACAAATATATAAATTATTAAAAAAAAAAAATAATTAATGTATTTTTTTTTATAAATAATAAATTTTATTAATTATTTAAAAAAAAAAAAAAAAAAAAATTCTTATAAATATATATAAAGAAATTAAATTAAAATTTAATAACTTAATAAATAAAATAAATAAAAAATGCTTTAAAAATTAATAAATTAATATTTTTATTAATAAAATATAATAATATAAATTAATATTAATTATATTTATAATTTTTTATAAAAATATTATAAAATATAAATATTATATTTTTTAGTATTTAAAAGAAATAATTAAATTAATAATGTATTTTATTTATAATAAATATTAATAAGTTTAATTCCTGAATATATATCTATATTTAAAAATTATTATATTAAAGTTTTTAAATTTTAAAAATAAATATACAATAAATAAATTACATTAATAATTTAATTTAGAATAAAAAAAAAAAAATATTAAAAGAAAATTATTGAATGCAAAATAGATTATTAGGATATAAAAATATTTATATAAATAAAGATATATATATATATATATATATATATATATATAAATATATATTTATTTTTATATTTTTTATTAAAAAAAAATTATATATTTTATTTTATTATATAAATTTTTTTAATAAAAAAATAATTAATACAATACTTTATATTTTGTAATAAAATTATAATTTATAAAAAATTTTATAAATTTATAAATTATATTTATGCATAAATATTTTTTTTTTAATTTATTATATAAAATCTACTAATATTTTTTAATATCGATAAATTTTTTAAAATAATATTAAACGTAAATAATTTTCTAATTTTTATTATAATTAAAAAAAAAAAATTATTTTCTATATAAAAAATTAAATTAATTTTTTTTTTTTTTTTAAAAAAAATAGTTATTGAATAATTCTAAATTTATTTTAAATTAAAAAATAATATAAAAATTTATATATATATAAATTAAATATATGAATTATGATATATAAAAACTAATAAAGTATATGTATAAATTATATTTTTTATATTATATAAATATATATTTTATATAATTTTTAATAAAATATATATGTATATTTATATAAATATATATATTTTATTGATTTTTATATATAAATATATTAATAATTTATATTATCTTGTTAATTTTTTTAATTTTATTTTTCTATATAATTTTATTTTTCTAAATATTTTTATTTTTAAATTATAATTATTTTTTAAAAACAATGAATTTAATTAATATATTTTTATAAAAAGATATTTTTTTTTGTTTAATAATATAAATAATTTTTTAATAATTTAAAATTTGTTTAATATTTATTTTCTCATTAAATTTATTTGTGATATATTTAATAGTAAAAATATATAAGATAATGAAATAATTTTTTTTTTAAATAAAAATATATTTTTAAATTTTTAAAAAAATTTATCATATAATTTATAGATAATAAAAACATTTTTAAATTATAAAATATAAATTTATTTAAATATATAAAAATATTAATATTATTTATAATTTATTTATATATAAAAATAGATAAATCTTTAATAGAAATATAATAAAATATCATAAAAAAAGATTTACATATATATAAGAATTATAATATATATTATAAATTATTAATATCATGATAATAAAATTATATTAATTAAAATGTAATTTGCTTATTTTACATAACTTAAAAAATACATTTTTTTCTATTAATCCATATAAAATAAATTACTAATATTTTTTAATATAAAAATATTAAAATATAAATATATCTTTTTCTTTTTCTTATTTTTTTTTTTTAAATACACAAAAAATTAAATAATAAACAATACATTTATTGTTTTTGATGTTTAAGACTGTTCTAAAATAGTTATATCTATCTATTTTTATAAAAAAATAAATTATATATTTTCTTTAAAATAATTTAGAAAATTTAATAATTATATAAAAATGGAATAATAATACTTTAATCTATATAAAATTAATTATATATGTAAATATAATATGTGTAATTGTTATAAATTTCTTATTTATTTAAATTACTTGTTTTTGTATCAATTATCATTCATAAATAATAAATCAGTTTTTTTTTATATAAAATTTTTATAAACTATTAAAAAATTTGTGATTATTTTATCTAAATAAAGAATAACTTAAAATAAAATTAATTATTATTCATTACTATAATATTTTAAAATTAAAATACATAAATAAAAATACAATAATAAGAAAATGAAAATACCTTTAATAACCTTATATTTAATAATCTGTAGTATATTCGGTTTAAAAGCATTCTAACACTAATGTATCCATGATTAAATTCGAAAACTTAACAAACGTGAATCAATCCCACCTAATGAGGAATCTCTAAATAACCGTAATTTATAAAATTTAAAACCTCGTAATATGGTTATAACCTATGTTATGCATTATTCTAATGAAATATCTTCTTTATTTTCTGTTGAAAAGTATTTGTCTATATAAAATGCATGTGAGAAAGCTATATAATTAGCAATTGACTATTTTTCTAAATTAATAAAAATAATTCCTAGATCTGAATCGGATATGAGATATAAAACCAAGTATGGATATTGTGGAGGTGTTGAAGTTCCTTAAAATGACAGAGTTATTGGCAAAAAATCTGATTTACATATATATGTACAATTTAAAAATGAATCAACATTAACTTATATAGCTAATGCGGGTTGGTGTTAATTTTTGAATGGTCTTGGACCTACTCATGGTGAAGTTAACTTTAATATAAGTTCATTAAAATTCACAAACTGGGATAATCATAGTGAATTCAAAGATTTATTGTAAACAGTTATACATGAAATCACTCATATTTTGGGCTTTACTTATTCAGATATACCAAAATGGATTACTTCTAACAAAAATCATCATAATGAACCGACTATTTAATAAAAATTAAGGGGAATTGATACTATATTTCTCAAAACTCCTCATGTTTTGACGTTTGCTCGAAAATATTTTAATTGTCCTACCTTAGTTGGTATGCCTCTTGAAAATATAGGAGGAGAAGGTTCTAAAAATTCTCATTGGAAAAGCACAATTATCTAGAACGAATACATGAATCCATCTGTATCATATACTTAGGCATATTTTAGTGGTTTTACAGCAAATCTTTTAAGAGACACAGGTTTCTATTATGAAATAAAAGAATCTATGGTAGAAAAAATATCGTATGGATAAGGAGCAGGTTGTCAACATGTCACCGGTGTATGCGATTCTGCCAAAAGAGAATATTGTAATCCTTAAAATGACTAGGGATTATGTGATTATTACCACCTTGGAAGTTCAGATTGTAGGTCTGGTTAATTTGATGAGCCTACATGTTATACTTAATATGTCAATGGAGATTCATAATGCTGGGAAATTAGAAGTAATCGTAACACGAAATAAAATCAGGATATTATGGGTGTTAAATTTGGGGTTAATTCAAGATGTTTTAACTCTTCTATATATAAGGATAAATAGTAGCCACCAAAAACTAGAATAACAGGAGAATGTTATTAATATGAATGTAAAACTAATGGATAATTGAATGTTTACGTTGGAAAAACTAAAGTGGTTTGTACAAACAACTTACAAAATTTATAAGTTAATGGATATTAAGGATATTTAACATGTCCTGAAAATATATAAAAATTTTGTGGTTTTAAAAAATTTTGCCCGAATTACTGTAGTTCAAACGGATATTGTCTAAATAATGAATGCCATTGTGCTAAATAAAATTTTGGAAATGATTGCAGTAAAAAAAATCCTTTCAAAAATTGATAAGTATTTCTTCGGTTCTTTTTGTTATATTTAATAAAAAATAGCAAAATATAATAATATAAATATATATAATAAATTTTATTTTATTAATAAGATATGATTTTAAGTTTTATTTTTATTTATATGATAAATAAAATAAAAAAAAATTAAAAAAATTAAAAATTATAAAATAAATAAAAAAAAATATATATTAAAATACTTTGTTTATAATTTAAAAATATAAAAAAATAAAATAATAAAAATATTTTAAATATGACTATAAATATATAGAAATTTATTAAAATTTAGAAAATAATCATTTAAATAAATGTTAAATTATATATAAAAAATTATATTTATAAAATAATAAAATATATATATTATAATAATTTATATTATATTTATTATAAACTAAACCATTTGTATTTAACTAAAAAAAAAAATATAAAAATGAATTAAAAAAAATATATATATATAAAAATATAAATTAGTAGTTATATATATTATTTGTATATTATAATTTAATATAAAAAATAAAATGCTAAAAAAAAGAATATGTTTTAAATTTTAAATTAGTAAAAAAAAATATAATATATAAATATATATATATATATAAAAATATATATATATATTTGTATAATTTAATTAAATTTATATTTGTATTATTATGAATAATAAATATTTTTCTTAAAAAAATACTAAATTTGATGATATAATTAATTATATATATAATTATAATATTTTTATAATTTTATTACTATTTTAAAATGAAATAATTTATATTATTAATTATATAATTTAATAATATATTAAGATATTTATACATAAATAATTGATTATAAAGTATTTATATATTATATATCTTATTAAATAATAAATTAATCTAATTATTTTAAAAACTATGTTAAATACTTTATTTATAATTTATTTTATTAATAAATATTTTTTATTTATAAATTATTACAAATTCTATTATTTTTAAATAAAATAATAATTAATAATGAAAAATTATTATTTTGCTTATAATTATCTATATGTATTTTAAATATTATTTAATACTTAAAAATATAATTAATATTTATATATTAATTAATTTATATTATAAATATATTATAAATATTTTTTATAATATATTGAAAAAAAAAAATTAAATTAAAATAAAAAAATGTGATAAGATAATATTTTTTTATAAAAAATAAAATAATATTTATAAATAAAATTATAAGTAAATAAAAAATAAAGATTTATTATATATTATATTCAAAAAATATTATTATTAATTAAATAATTAAAAATTTTTTATGAAAAATAAAAGAAATATTGATAAATAAAAAATTTTATATTTATTGAAATACATTTATATATATATATATTTTTTAGTATATTTATATATATATATATATATATTGTTAAATAATAATTATCATTTTAAATAGCTTTTATTATTTCTTTTATTAAATTTCTAATATTTTTATATTATTTTTATTAATAAATTTTTATATAAAATTTTTCTAATTTAATAAAAAGTTTAATAATATTTTTTTTTTTT